TATATATATATGTAAAAAAATAATATGTGTATAGATAGATACATAGATAAATAAGTGGATACATATGGATACAGATTTGCACTTATCTGGAGAAGGTTGATTATCTGTGTCTCATGTAGACTACATAGAATAAATTAAATGTGATAAATGCATCAGGTTTCCCTTCAAACATTTCATTCTAGTTTACAGGTGACCTGGCACTATCCTGGAGATTAATAAATAAACAGTCCAATTATATATTTTTCTTTAAATAGGGAAAAAAAAAAAAATATTCCCTCAAAAAGTGTCCCCAAGCTCCTCCTTCTTCTTTAAAATTCTTACGGCCCTCTGAATCACACGGTGTTCAAGAAAGCATTTTGATATGGACGTCTGTACTGGATATTCTTACCATAAATATTTACATTTTAAGATTTATCTACATTGCATCTCGTAATAAAAAATAGATTTAAAAAAAAAAAAGAAAATCTGTAGTCCCCGTTGGAGCCACAGTGGGGCGCTGTTTCTCTGCAACAACTTCAAGGCATTCGACTCAGCGATACCCGAGTACCACTACTTTTTGTTTGACGTTATTAGTGCTGATCCGTAGAGGATTTTCGGTGACGCTGCTTTCCGGGCAGAAAAGTTTTAATACTATATTTTGCATTGACTAGAAATCTCAGTGTTTCTTACGGGTTTTGACGGCTTCCCCCATCGTCGCTCGGTTCCTAATTCTACTATTTTTGGAACAAAAAATTGCAACGCCTCCTCCCCCTCCCACCCACCTAGAAAGTCTTAATTCCGTTTGCTTTCCCGATGAGCCAATTTACAGCGGCTTTGGGGTACGGAAACGTTCCTCAGCTCGAAAACGTCAACAGGAAGACAAATGTTGGTCAAGATGTCCGAAAACTTGACTGCTTTGGGAGCATAAAAACTGAGGTCACACGTGAGTTTGCATGCGCTGTTGTGCTGGTCGGCCGTAGTCACAGTGCGTGGAGAGTGAGGCGTAGGAGAGCCGCGTAGGGCCAGATTCCAGGGTTTCGAAGCGGTCTGGGCGGACGTAACTGCAGAACGCTCTGGCGTAAGGTGCCGGTTGGCTACCTGGGCCCGTAGATATGCTACACGGGCCTTGCGGTATATGGACCCGTTCGCTTCCTTGGCGTGGAGTGGTGGCGTACCGGTGGGCATAGTCATACAGTTTGGGAGCTCCGGGTAAAGACGGAGTTGGGCAGAGCGGGGTGAGACTTGTGGTCGCAGAATATAGAGGCCGAGGAGGCGAGGAAAACTCTGGATAGGCAACTGTGATTGGACGGGAGTCATCGTGGGCTCGGACTTTGTAGTAGCCGTTCGTTGGGTCCTGAAGACAGAAAATACGGGTCAAAGGAATACCAAGGAGTTACCCTTATCAAGTCATCAAGTCCATTCACACTAGCAACATGTACCTGCTGTCACCCACGCTAGTCCAAGCTCAAGGTTCTTTGCATAGAGATAAGTAGACCTCCAATGGCAATTATCTATTTGGTGCCTCAAGTTATTGAACCCTAATATTTTTGCAAGGTGTCCAAGTCAACTTTCCTCTCCACAGCATAAACATGAGCACCTGAGCAACCCAAGTGATTATGCTTGGAACTATATCTAAGGACCCTACAAGCAACCAACCTTTCATCTGCGTCCAGTTTTAGACCCTCCAGGTCTAGACTCAGGGGCGGATTTACTCTCTCTGCTGCCCCAAGGCCAGGTTCCTCAATGCGCCCCTTACCTGCCAACCCCCCCATGGAGAATGGCAGACCTGCAGGTGCATGCAATGATCTCGGCCACATCGCCGGGATCACTTGTACAAAACCAGCGGCGGCTTCTCGGCTGTACATTTAGCTCTGCTTGGGCCAAATGCAGAAAACAACTACCCATCTGGCGCCTGGAACTGCATGTCCTGGGCATCAGGAGATAGGAATTCCACACCCCTGCTGCCCCTCTACTCCCTGCTGCCCTAAGGCCGGGCCTTGGTTGGCCTTGTTGGAAATCCGGCCCCGTCTAGACTATTAAAAGATTTCCATAAACTTTGATACATGAATGGGACAACCCAGCGACAGCCACCAGAGGCAACTTACCTGAGAGTCATCCGGGATGTCGCTGTGTTCTGTCTGCGATGTTCCTCGAGATTCTGTATCAGTGTGCTACACAATAAAAACAATATGTTGATTGATTAGGTTTCATCAAAAACTTAGCATTTGGGTTCTTGTAGTTTTTTTTTTAAAGCTTGCACTAAGCCTAATGATGGTCATCTGCTTGGAAACAAAGACTGCCCAAATGTTCTCCTTAGCATATATACTGCACAATCCTAAAGTCCTTCATTAACTGTGAAGAACAAAAAGGAAAATCCGGTGATGTTTCCAGTTTGACTATTAAAATTGATTCCAGTTTTGGTTTTCCTAAAATGATCTTTTTAAACTTAATAGAACAAATGTAATAAAATCACAGATGATCAATGAGAAGCCAAATAGCCATTGTCCTGTATTCCTCAAGAAGATCGTAGTGATGACTTTGATGGACAAAGGAGAATGTTCTCCCGTCTATCGGCCTTCTTCACTACCATCAAAAATATCTACAGGGTTGTTCACAAAAGGGTGAAGAGTTTGGAGAAGTGAACAATCTAGGACAACATACAGGGCCGGATTTACTCTCTCTGCTGCCCCAAGGCAAGGTTCCTTAAT